TCTTATATTTAGTTCCCGCAGTAACTGGCCTCAACCATTTAAAAAGACCGAGTACAGGCCTTCAAATGTTCAATGGCCATAAAAGAATTCAACAATGACGGTCTGTATAATGTCTGGAATGCTTCATGCAGTTGTGCTGAATGGACTCTTCTGAATCAAGGCGCTTAAAGCCAGGACAGCTTCAACAACACAGGGAACCTGCTAGGCTGGGTTGAGCTTAGGCCAAATTGTTGTATGAGCTTGGCAGTGATGAGGCTTTCGCTTTTATTGTAAATGCTGGAAGCAGCGTTGTTTGCAGTCACATAATGTGCAAGTGAAAATGTGCTGCTGGAAAAGAGGGAAAGCTGTAATTCTCTCAGTAATCGCCCAGTATGAAAGTATTGTATTGTCATGCAGAAAATTATGGAACTATTTCATCTGAAAAGAAAAAGTTTTTTACAAATTCCCCTAACAAATGAGACGCCCTGGATTGATCCCAGGAGGAGACAAAAATTCCTTTAACATTGTGTCAGAAATTCAATATTTTGGGGTCCTTAAAGTCCTTAAAGTCCTTGTACTTATGCCTCTCCAATGTGCACTGGATCTCCTACAGTGTGTCAACACCAAGTATTAAACATAATTTCAATAAGGTGAGATCACTTGGAAGAATTTGTACATAATTTAACATGTCAGTGTAAATGATAAAAACGTTTTGCTTATTTCACCTGGTTTTAAATTGTAGAAGAAAGCCGAGAGGATCATTATGCACAACATGGAGTAGTTTTCAGTGTCAGCGAATTTAATCTAATACAGATTATAAGTCAATCAGCAAAAAAATACGCCCCGTATCACAGATCATATCAATAACACTTGAGCTAACTCCTAGGAATGCTTATACTGCGCATTGTGAAAGACAGTAATGTATAGATAGCTGGTTAGGAGTGGCCAGTGGTTTTGCTTTTTTTTTATCATTGAGATAAGCTTATCAGAGCTAATGGGCATTTTAATTTGTTCTGTGTTTTTCTGTTTCAATTCTCAGTGGAGACCGAGAGGCCATTAAAAGGATAGCCCGTGAGTTTGTTGAAGACAAAGCCAAAGAAGGAGTGATTTATGTTGAAGTTAGATACAGCCCACATCTTCTCGCTAACACTGGAGTGAAGCCAATTCCATGGAACCAGAAAAAGTAGGTATTTGGTTTGCACAGCTCAAATAAAGGATCAAATAAACTTCTGATTCATTTACTGGAACGTTTCTTGTTGTCTTTGCTCAGGGGCGACCTGAGCCCAGATGACGTGGTGAGACTGGTTAACGAGGGCCTCCGCGAGGGGGAGAGAAAGTGCAAAATCAAAGCCAGGTCCATTCTATGCTGCATGCGCCACATGCCAAGTAATGAACTGTTCATGCTCCTGTCTGCTCACACAACCTTGTGAGATAAGGTTTCTTGCTGTACTGTGTTCTG